ATTCAATTTGATTCAATTCGATCAAATTCAAATTGATTCAAATTGATTTGATCAAATATTTGAGTTCAATTCGATTCAATTCGATTCAATTTGAAAAATCAAATCAAATTCAAATTGCTAAATATTTGATTCGATTCGATTTTGAAGAATCCTAGTAAATATTATATAATTTATTTATTTATTATTTATAATAATAAATTTGAGATATTTAATTAAGAATTTTATATTAATATAATAATATTTTATATTTAATAACAACTTAATTGTAATTAAATTAGGTTTAAATACATATTTTATTTTTATTATTATAAATAGATTTAATAACATTTTAAAAATAAAATATATTTAATATTAAAAAATTTTTTATTATATAAGTTTACAATATAAATTTAATAAAATTATTGTATTAAATAAAATAAATTTTATTAATTCAGTATATTATAAATAAATTTTTTTTTTGTAATTTTAAATACTTTAAATATCATTGCATATTATAACTATTTCTTTATTTTTAAAAAATAAAAATAAGATAATTTTTCATACATATATTTCATTTTTTAATATATTTATATATTAGAAATTATAATAATTTCTTGAATATATTTTTTTTAAATTTTTATTTTAACTTTGCTATTAATTTTTTTATATAATCATATTCAAATTTATAATAAGTATTAAGTCTTATTTTTTAGTTTTTTTATATATAAATTAAGATTTTTAGATTTATATGTATTTTTTATATCACGTTTATTTGTTTCAACTATAAATTTTTTAATATTACTTAAATTATATTGATCTAATTTATTTTCATTTTTTACTGCTTTTTTATACCAATGTATTGCTTTTATGAAATTTTTTTCAACTCCTTCATCTTTTAAATCATTTAAATATAAAAATCCAAGATTATTTTGAGCTATATTGTAACCTTTTTTAGCAGCTTCATTATACATTTTAAATGCTTTATTATTATCATTTTTAATACCTATTCCAAATTTATAACAATTACCTAAATTATATAATGCTATTTCATTTCCATTTTTTGCTGCTTTTTGATACCAATAAAAGGCTTTTTCTGGATTTTTTTCTATTCCTTCACCATTTTCATATAATTTTGCCAGATTATTTTGTGCAATACTTATTTTATTTTCAGCAGCAACTTTATATAATTCAATAGCTTTTATTTTATTAATATCAGTTCCAATTCCTACATCATAACAATAAGCAAGATGACATTTTGCAATTACATATCCTTGTTTAGCTGCTTTTGTATATAATTCAAAAGCTTTTTTCTCATTTTTATTTACACCACCAATACCATCTCTATAACACTTACCCAAATAGTATTGCGCAACATAATATCCATCTTCTGCTGCTTTTTGAAAATAATAAAATGATTTTTCATAACTTGTATTTATTAATATTTTTCCAATATAATATAATCCAATATGATTCAATACTTTTAATTTGAAAACTTTATTAGATTTTCTTAAGTCATCTTTTGCTCTTTGATTATAATACATTTTAAGAGTAAAACTTGCAACTATATCTCCATTTATTGCTGCTTTTGTATACCAACAAACAGCTTGCACTTCATCTATTTTAGTTCCAATTCCATAATTAAAACAATTTCCAAGTTGAAATTGCGCATCAGCAATTTCTTTTTTAGCTAATTTTTCATATAATTCAAATGCTTTAATTTCATTTTTATTTACTCCTTTTCCTAACTTATAAAACTCTGCGAGATGTAATTTTGCGGTTAAATTTTCTCTATTAGCTGCTTTTTTATACCAATAAATAGCTTTTTCATTATCATTTTCAGTTCCAATACCATGCTCATAGCAGTAACCTAAATAAAACTCTCCAATACTACTTTCATGTTCAGCAGATTTTTGATACCATTTAAATGATAAGACTTTATCGTTATTATAATAACATTTAGCAAGATATACTTGAGCTATTGGGTAATTATCTTCAGCTGCTTTTAAAAATAATTTCAATGCCTTGTTATGATCCTCATTTACGCCAATACTATAATAATAAAATAATCCAAGAAACCAAATATATTGTGATTTGTTTTGATTTTTTAATAGCCATTTTTTAAGTCCTTGTATATCATGTTTTAATTTTAATATTTGTTGATTAATGAGTTGCTGAATTTGTTCAATCGTAATCCCTTCATCATGTTTCCTAATTATGAATACAATGAACTCATTGGCAGCTAATTCATCATCTGATAAATATGAACCCTTTTCAGTCGCCGTTATGTCAATTTTGTAACCCGAATTACATCTAGATTCAATAATATTTGGTATTTTATCTAACAATAAATCTTTATTTATATCTGTAATGTCTTCACAAGATTCATCTTCTGATAAAACAGAAAAATATGAACCCTTTCCAGTCGCCATTATGTCAGTTTTGTAACCTGAATCACGTCTAGATTCAATAATATTTGGTATTTTATCTAACAATAAATCTTTATTTATATCTGTAATGTCTTCACAAGTTTTTATGTTAGTAGTATTTTTTACAAATAAACATTCTATATCTTCATTAATAACATTTCTTTTAAGAGAAATTGTTTGTATAATTAAGACAACCTCTTGCATATCTGGACGTTCATTTGGCTCATTGTGCCAACATTCTAATAAAAGTAAAACTTAATGGATGATATTTACAGACTATTAAATAATAATAAACATAACGTACTTGTATATAAAGCGCTGTATTCATTAGGCGTACCATCAATAATTTTCTCTCTTTCTCCATTCTGTATAGCCAAGGCTAAACTTAGGTCATATTTATCTTCAGCATAAAAGGGTCTACGCCCACTTGAAATTTGCCACATAATAACTCCAAAACTATATACGTCAGATTTCTTATTTAATTGATAATAATTATTATTTTTTGAATTATTAAAAGATTTTGGATCAATATAAGGTATGACACCAAATATTCCCAATGTGCTATTCGATGCTTCAGCAATTTTACTTGAAAGTCCAAAGTCTGCCAGCTTAATATTATTCTGGTGTATAAGTATATTATCTGCATGCTTTATATTAAGCAAAATAAAAAATTATTATTTAAGATTATAATATAAACAATGATTGAATTTAGAGAAATTGATTTTTATAAATCAGATAAACAAAATTAGCATTACCAAATCACGATGAACTATACCACATTCATGAATAAATGCTACTGCACTTGCAAGTTGCTTTGCTAAACGAAATTTATTGTCCCATTCCAATTCATGAAAATGTTCTTTTAAATAAGTTTTTAATGTACCGCTATCTGCATATTCCAGAACTAATGCGTATTTATTAACTTGATTTGGATCTGTATGAAAGGAAATAATACTTAATAAAATGCAATAATTTTATTAATATATCAAATACTCACTGGCTTCTTTTTTATTTGCGATACCATATAGTCGTATAATATTTTCATGAAAGTCAACAGACCGATGTAATTTAATCTGCGAATATATAACACATTTACAGTATAAGTGTAAAATAAATCTTTCAAAAATAATAAAAAACATATAATACCTCGTTGACAACTTCTTTAAAAGTTAACTTATTAGTATTAAAGAACTTTAAAGCAAATAAGCGATCAGTATTTTTCCAATTTGCACGCATAACTTTTCCAAATGAACCAGTTCCAATATGATGCATTTTATTAAACTCTGAATGATCATAAAATTTGATACAGTCCTCCTTAATTAATTTATCTAACCAAACTTTAGCAAAATTAATTTCCGAACCCATTTTTATTTTTTTTTAAGTATTAAGAAAATGAAAAAAAAAATTGAAGTAGAATTGTAGAATATTGGTACTTCTAAACAATATGTGAAACACGGGGATGAAAATCATGAATATAAAAGTAAAATCGATTGTCTATTGACACTATATTTCTTATTAAATCTATCCTGAGTATCCATCATGTGATATATATGCATAATCGGTCATGTTGACATATGTGCGCCACAATTTTTTGAAGGAAACACAGGATAGTTTGTCCAGAAATACTGCGCTTTATCCCAGGTGGGACATAATTAAATAAACCATTTAATTGAATTTATAATACAGCAAAAATTGTAATAATTTAAATATAAATGGTTGAAATTTTTAGATTTTAATATTTAAGAATCAATGGTCGAAATAAATCAACAAATTTTTAGATAAAGCAAAAGGTTATCATTAAATGGATGTTATGAATTTTTTTACAACTATTCATTAAGAAAATAATATAAATATCGAAACATTAACCCTATGAACAATAATCATTAAAAATTAAAACATCGGAGCTAATACGTTAAACCTTACCGGTTTTCTACCCTTTTTGGACGTGAGAGCTAACTTTCCTTAAAACACCAACAAAAAAGCTAAAATACATGCTTTTTCATATAATTTATACAAACTTTCATGCCACGAGCTTAACATAAATACACGAAACTTGACTTTAAATGAACTTGACTGTAAATGCTTGTAACTGGCTTACCGCTTACAAAACATCATAATCTAATCATACAATTCATATTATTTTTTTCAAGCAAATTATTCATAAATTTATTATTAAATTATCATCGCAAAAGTATTTAATGTCACATTATTATTTTAATGCAAGCAACAAACCCTTCCATGTAAATGGCATTGTCCTCTATTTTTTTTTTTTATGGTACAAGACTTCTGACTATTTAACATAAAGATATTTTTATCAAATCAATCAGTCAAATTTTTTTCTTGTAAGAGCAAACAATGTATTATATTCCCAACCTATTGCCCTGATACTAACCCTAACACTAATACAAACTAACCAAAATCCACCCCTGACCCAAACTCAAAGCTCCGATTATTATAAAATGCCTGACCCTTATTTATTTAATCTTTTCTTCCATGTTAACTAATTACTAGGTGGATTAACTTTTATAACCACACATCTTTTTCGTTTTGGCAAATATATGACGACGAGCTGTTTAAAATCATATCCCATAAATTAGACGAGATTCACCTCTTCCATTTCTATAAAAAGATAATGAAAATAAGAAAATCATGTACAACCTATCCTTTAGAGTAGAGTTTTAAAAAATGCAAAGAAAATATATACTACCGGCAAAAGGTTATTAAAAAAAATAAAGGAAATCTTTATTTTTTATTGCTGGAAAATTTTTAAAAATAGCTGCGCCACCTGTTAACTACGGTTATATCATATCACGTGGAATTATAGAATAAATGGCACAGCTTATCTTCCTTTTTTTCATAAAAAATTCTTCCATAATAAAAAAAATAAAAATACATTTCTTTTGTTTAAATTTTTCTGTCGTAAAGTATAATAATACATAAAAACTTTATCGTGGGATCACAAGGTATAAAATTAAATGTCGATCTTTTTTATAAATACTAAAAAAAATGATTCAAAAAAATATTTTTTATCGATGTGTAGCAGTAGTCGTTGTAATCTTTGTTTTCCTTCGAGAACAAAGATCTGAATATCTTTAGAGTCAAGTAGACGAGAACCGAAAATTCAAGGCTTAATTTCAATTTTAATTTTATTGATTAAAAAATTGTTAAGCGATGATCAGATTTACGTTAATTTTCCTTAACGTTAAATAGTAAATTCGATTTAGATCACGTGAAAAATGCAAAAAGTGTTAAAAATTGTCTCAATAGTGCGATGCATGTGTTATGCAAAATTATAGTGCATTAATGCGTTATTATGCAAATGCACGAATCCGTGGGCTCTAGGTGGTACAATAAATATTTATCTACAGTGTTTGTACAACCCGTGATTAAATTCGCTATGCCATTTTTGATTGATTTTAAATGTAACACAAATTTAGCCATCATGCATATAATCGTAGAGTGAATGGGGTGGGTGGGGGTTTTTTTTATTCTTAAAATGAATCCATATATGGATCAAAAGGTAAATAAAGTCATTTATGCTGCAATAAGTGAAGCAGATTCATTAGTTGATAGCCAATATGATCTTGAAAATAGACATCAATTTAGAATGCAACATATTCAACAAACAAATCTTGAAGAATTTGAAAAAAAACAAGCTATAAAAATATTAAATGACCGTTTTGATTATCATAAAATTGTTTATAAACAAGGAACAAAAAGAACCTGTGAAAATTGTCACATGGAATGTTTAGCTACGTCATATTGTGAGAATTGTATTCGAAATTATTTAAAGGCAAATTTTTCATATTGGACATCCGGAAATAAAGAAATTGATAAATTAATACAGGAATGTCAAAAAGAATCCCTTGCACCAAACATGATAATTGAGTGGATTCCATACGAAAATTTAGAAAATGTTGATTATTTAACTAAAGGTGGATGCTCTGAAATTTATGAAGCATATTGGAAGGATGGGCCCTATTATGAATGGAACTCTAATAAAAAACAATTTGTAAGATTTGGGAAATATAAAGTAATACTTAAAACATTAAAAAATATTGAAGCAGCTAATATAAGATGGTTTGATGAGGTATGTAGATATAATTTTTATTATTAATTATAAAGTAAATGATTTTAATAAATTTCAAACAAATTCTTGTTTAGGCCAAATCGCATTTAAGTATAAGCAATAAGTGGTTTAATATAGTAGGATGTTTTGGTTTAACGAAAAACGAAAATAATGATTATATGCTTGTAATGATCCAAATGGATATGGATTTAAGAAAATATTTGCAACAAAATCATAAAAAGCTTACATGGAAAAATAGAATTGAAATTATTTTTCATATAATTAATGCACTTTATAGAATTCATCAAGAAAATGCAATTCATAGAGATTTACATTCTGGAAATGTATTATATTCACCAAGAACCTTTAATTGGTATATTAGTGATCTCGGATTTTGTGGTCCTGTTGATAAACCTTTAAATAGTATATATGGAAATCTTCCCTATATAGCACCTGAAGTTATTGTTAACAAAGAATATACTTATGCGTCGGATATTTATAGTATTGGTATACTTATGTGGGAAATTTCATCCGGACAACCGCCTTATATTAATTATGAACATGATTATTATCTTGTATTAAGAATAATAAGTGGAATGAGACCAAAATTTGTACCGGGAACTCCAGAAGAATATAAAACTCTAATGCAGCTATGTTTAGACGCTGATCAATCTAAAAGACCCGACATTTCTTCTGTTTCCAAACAAATTAAAGAAATGTTACTTCAGTTTAAAGATGGACGACAAATAAATAATAGCTCTAATAATACTCATTTACAAGTAAATAATACAGGTCCGGGTCTTGGCAGTAAAGTTCATTCATTTGAAACTTTACCTAGACCAAGCAATGCTACTGAAGGCAAGCTACTTAATTTTTACTTATCGCATTAGCTAAATAGAATTTTTTTATAACCCAATTTTTTTTTATTAACAGAGGAGCAAGAAGGTGATTATTTTTGAGTATTAAAATGTCAGAAATGCATTAAATACGAAATTTATTTAATAATTTTGGTGGTAGTCAATAGAAAAGGGGAATTCTAAATTTTGTCAAAACTTTTTTCACAAAATTAAGACAAATTTCGCAGATTCGCCCTTTTCTATTGACATCCCTCCAACTATTTTCTTTAAAGATTATCACAATATGCAAATTAGTACTATCAAATTTGGTAAGTAATATTTTAAATATGTATATATTTTAATATAAAAAATTTTGTAATTCTTATTTTTTTGAAATTATTAAGATTTTATATTCGATCAAGATGATGATTTAAAATTCGGTAAAATTATGAAATTCTTTGATTTTATAATTTCATACATAAATTTAAATTCAATTTTATAGATATAAGCAACAATGTAAAGAGGAAACCCAAAAGAAATTATTTAAAAGATTTATCGGATTGTAATTTATTTATTTTATTATAGTTAATTTTGTTATTAAAAAAAAAATACTTAATATCTAATTCAATTTATTTTAAAATAGGTGAAGATTTAATTATTAAGTCTAAAAATTTTAAATCAAACAATAATAAAGGTAATCAATGATCTTATTTAATAAATTTACATAAGAATAATTATTTATGAAGTTTTTAATTAGAATTACAAGTCAATAATAATAATGATAATGACCAATATATGCCTTGTAAGAAACCATTTTCTTATATAAATATACAAATCAAATTTTTATTAAAAAGCATAACCAATCTTAAATTCAGATGAAAATATCTATAATAAATATATGTGGATTAATTGGATCGAAGAAGCTATTTCTAAGAAAATAATTAAAAAATTTGAATACAACAAATTTCGTAATATTGAATCAATTGAATCTTGTCATAGTTATATCAAAGTCTCTAGAGCAAATTGGAAAGATTCTCGTTATACGTTGATACTTTATGAGGAATTCAACAATGAAACGGCTAAGAAAATTTTTAATGGGGTAATCATAATACCTAATAATTATTTTTTTCTAGTCTTTGCAATATATTTATAATTTTTGGTTTAGCTTAAATATCAAAGTGAATTTAAATTTAATGAAATTATTATTCGTATTCATGGAATTATTCAAGGTATTATTATAAATATTATAAATATTGTGCTATGAGTTGAATTAAATAATCGCCTAGTGACAAAGATTCTTTTTATTAGAAAATCGATTTAACCAGAATTATTCGTTAGTATTAGATTATGCCGATGGAAATACTCTTCAGAAATATTTGAAAAATAATTCTAATCAGCTTACTTGGTATGATAAATATAATTTAGCATTACAATTGGCTCATGCTGTAACTTGTTTGCATAATGTAGGAATTGTACATCGTGATTTGGTAAATTTTATAATTATTTATACTTTTATTTTAAAAAAAAATTAATTTCTATCCTTACATAATAATAGAATTCCGATATTGTGTGTGTTCATCAAAAGAGTATAAAACTCGTTAATCTTGGACATTTAAAAAGGATCGAAGAAATACAAGAACAACCAGAACTACAAAAAAAGCATGATGTTAACAGAGTTGGCCTTATTTTACAGGAGATATCAAGTGGAGAAAAGATTATAATTAAAGATATTTCGGAAGACCTTAGAAGAGCAAAAAATGTTTCTGAAGAGTATATTAAGGTTTATACTGGTAAATATATTTATTTATGGTTAGTTATAAATTTATCTTAAAGTTTAAAATAATCATTTTTAATGTTTCAGAGTGCTTGGATGATAATCCACCAGATATAAACGAAGTATTTACCAAATTAAAAGCAATTATTTCAAAAAATTTTCAAATTATTTTATCTGAAAATAATTTAAGTATAATAATTATCGGGGAGATAGTTGATCTTATTTATAAAGAAGTAAATAACGGAACTAAATTTAAAGTAATCAACCAACATATTGTTGATCATATTAATAATTTCAATAAGAAGATTAATTTACAGAAAATTTTTAATTGGTTGATATGTAACCAAAATAGCTCAAATTATATTTTTTTGCTTGGATATTTTAATTTTTCTGAAATCAAAACAATTCAAAGCATAGAAAACATGGAAATTGCATTTAACTTATTAATGAATGCTTCAGAACAAAATAATAAATTAGCCCATTATTATGTTGGTAAATGCTTTCAATATGGATATGGTACTGTGAATGATGACAAATTGGCTTTTAATTATTATAATAAAGTAGCTGAAGAATTTGCATCAGGACAATATAAAATTGGAAATTTTTATTATAATGGAATAGGAATTGAAAAGAATTTAGAAAAGGCTTTTTATTGGTATCAAAAATCTGCTAAAAAAGGGCATTATAAAGCTCAATATAAACTTGCTTTTATATATGAAAATGGAAGTAGGATTGATAAAGATAGAGATGCTATTGATTAGTATTAAAAGTCTACTAAACAAGGATATCAAAAGGCTCAAATTAGACTTAATTTTCTTTGTTCAGATATAATATAAAATAGATGCTGAATGGTTTGAATCATATTTTTTGTTTAAATTTTTTGTTATGACATGAAGGTTAAGAAAGTAAAAAATCCTGAAACTTTTTGATAAATTGAATATACAATTTGATTTTTACAACTTTTGCAATAAATAATATGGAATATTTTAAAGATTAATAGTAAGATGAATTAATGACATTTTATTATATTTATATATAATTTTATTAATAATTTAATCTGATTAATTTTTTTTGATTCTGGATGAACTGGTTTATCATCATTTATTATTCCTTAAATAGTTATGATTTTGTTCAAATATAGTCATAATTTTCGATCAATTATTATACAAAAATTCTAGAAACTTACAATTTTTTTTTAAAATACATTATAAAATTATAATAAATCTATAAAATTTCATTTTTAATATTAAAAAATTAGATATATACAGAATTTCCTTTAATAGTTATTCTTTCAAATTTAAAAGGAATTTTACTTATTAATAAGTAAATTAAAAAAAATTTAACATTGAATTTTGAATATTTTTTAATAACAATAATATTAATAAGTATTTATAATAAATAATATTTTTAAATAAAGCCTTAAAATTATGTAATATTAGATAAATTATTATAAAAATTTCTAGAATAATTTTAGAACAAGATACAGGCTTTTTAATAAATTTAAATATATTAAATCAATCATTATTTTCTGAGATATGCACATTTCAAAGATCTGATTATAGTCAAATTTTTAATTTAATAAAAAGAGTAATATAAATATTTTGAGAATACTCAACTATATGAAGTATATGATAAGGCATATTTATATTAACCAAAATTACAAAGGATATTATTTTATATTTAGATCAAGAAACTAATAAGATAATACTTATATATCTTTTCTAAAAGATAGTTTTTGTCTAAAAATTCTGCTAATGAAAATTAACATTAGGTTGTTAATAAAAAAATTGAAGGGTAAATTCTTATTAGTTCTTAAAAAAATATCTAATTTAAAATCTGCAAATTGGATACTTTACAAATTGGCTTAAAGACTTCATAGATAGTGATATATTTAATGATAGAAAAAAAGCATAAAAGTTTAAATTCAGTTAAAATATTATAAATCTAATTATTAGTAATAATAATGGAAAAAAATCTAATTAGATAAGAATGATAGAAAGTATTTTATTCAGATATATAAAAAAAAATATGTTAAAATTAATACTAAAATAGTTCATTATTGTATTCCTCTTAATAAAACTTAAGAATTCAAAATCATGAAGCTTTATATTTATATGCATTAGAATATATAAGACTTATTTCAAATTTTGATGAGTATTAAATTCCAATAATTAAAACTAATCTTATAATAGTTAATAAGACTATCAATAAAATTCATAAGTTTATAAAGAAAGAATATATATATCAATACAATTTAAATATTACTTCTTTATATTATTATCCCTTAAATGATAAGGTTTTATAGGCAAATTTGCATGTTTATTTACTATAAATTCTCTTCTAATTTACTTTATAAATAATTAATATTTTTTAAAAAAAATTTTTTAAATTAATTTTATAAAATTATAATAAATTATAGCAAGTTTTGTCTTTTAATTATATATTAAAAAATTAAAAAATTTAAGTATATTTAAAAGTTAAAATTTGTAATTTTCTAAAAAAATTTATATTAAAAATTTCATAACTAATCTATGATAAATTTAAAGTCTTAATGCCATGTATACTTCTTTAGAATTCTTTAAAATAGATAAATCGATCATTATTTGAATTTTCTTTTAGTCTGATTTAGAACTTTGAATCTGGTAGGTCAACCTGTGACCCGATCTGATCCGACCTGAAAAATCCAGATCAGATAGACAAATTTACAGGTCAACATCAGGTCGGATCAAGCTTATGACCCAACCTGATAAAATTCAGGTCAACCAATCAAATTAAACAAAATAAATTATTTAAAAAAAATTTTTTTGTTTATTTTTTTTTTAAAACATTTAATTTATTTAATATACTTTCTTTTTATATTCTAATAAAGTTGTTTGTATAATTACTTTGTAATTTATTATAATC